CATACTCTGGTCCCTATCCTTCTGAAGCCTGATGATTCACCTTTCTTTGAGTTACCTTTCAAACATTTTGTTATTATTGTTTTAGCTCACTAGAGTCAGATTTTCTTACCTATAGCAAATAACCCTGCCTGGTACAAGGGTAGATAAGAAGTGGAGCTCAGAGCTGCAATGATGATCTCGGAGATGTGATGCCTTGACACTTCCCATATTTACAAACACTTCTCAAGAAGCTAAGCAAGGCTGTGACCTGCCAGCTCAGTTGCAACTTCACTAGACAAGTGCCATTGTTTAAAGGTCTTTAGGGCCAGGCTCAGCTTCAACCACGCACATGCCTCCTAATTTAACTGTAGCTGGGTTGCCTGTTCAATTAGAGGAGAATTTATTGAAGAATTAGTCTCTAAGGAGAAAGAGGAACTGTTCCTTCAATGGATTGATTTTTACAGTGTGACAGCAAACATGTTTTTATGTGTGTACAGGAATATATTAATGATTGGGTTATAAGGTTTCTTTTTTATTAGGATATTCTCAAAATCTGCTTTGCTTCTTGATCCAAAAATCAAAGAATGTCAAGATTGAGTAGACGTTAAAAAATAATGAGTTCAATCACTCATCAAGTACTTAAATTCTGCCTTCTGTATTCAGGATAACAGGCTAACTGCTTTGGCAAAAACTTGAAAATTTTATTGACTTCACCTCAATGAAGTTTATTTTTTACTCACGTCTTATTTTATTACAAATTAGCAGGAAGAGACTGCCATTCAGGGATCCAAGTTCCTTCCATCTTGTGGCTCTTCCTTCTTCTAGATAACCAAGGTATTCCCCTTTCAGCCAGCAGATGGGGCAAGAGGGTGGGGCTCACACAAAGGGTTGGTAGGGTGGAAGGGGCAGTTAAAGGGCAACATGGATTTGGTAAGTACCACTGTCACTCACATTTTGTTAGCCAGAACTCAGTCCCCAGCCCACACCTAACAACGAGGAGACTGGCACATGCAGTCCAAGTGTACAACTAGGAAAAAGAGGAGAACATAGATAGTGGAGAAAAGTAGCTATCTCTGCTTTAGACTTCCACGTGGTTATATGACCTCCTCTAACATTCTTCTAGTGATAAAGAACTCACTACGTTTTTGAGTAAGATAATATATTCACCTTTAAACATACTGGGCAGTTAGAATTTTTCTTTTGTTGAGTTGAAATACATTTTGCTGCATTGACAAGATAACCTAATACTTAAGACATGGGCTCTAGAGCCAGACTGCTTGAGTTTGTATCCAAATTCCATCAGCTTGGGCCAATTATTTTAGTCTGTTTCCTCATAAATGAATCCATGTATTGCATGGCTTGTGCCTGACATGTAATACATTCTTAATAAACATTAGTTTATTAAGATACCTTTGTTATCTAGAAATAAACATTAGGTTAATGTACCATATATTGGCACTTGTTTTACCCTTTGTTTTCACAGAGATACATCCTCGTCCTTGAACATTTGAAGGTATCTCTGCCCCTATTCTAAGTATCTTCTAGAATCCTCAGCTGTTCCTCAAGTGATCTCATTTAGCATCCTTTTCTAGTTCTGGTCACTGTTCTCAGACTGGGATCCAGTGTGTCTATAGCCCTTTGAACAATATGGTGCTCTTGCCAGATTACAAGATTCTAATATGCTCTGACCAGGGCAGAGAGCAGAAGAATTAGAACATTCTTATTTTTAGCAGTTGCGCATCTATCTATGCAGCCTAAGATCATATTAGCTTTTTCATTCACCACTTCAACCAGTTAGTACATATTGATCTTACTTTCTACAAAAATTTTAAAAATTTTATGTAAACATAATTGTTAAGCCAAATTTCTTGCATTGCTATAAGGTTTTATATTATCAAGAGGAGATTGTTATACTTATGTCTATACACTTTTAGTATATTCTATTTGATTTTGTATTTTCAATCTAAATGGAAGTTACCACACTCTTGAAGCCCTCCTACTACTTAACAGTGGCTAACACAGTTTCCTAGCACACAAGGAGAGTGAGCAAGACTCATTTGTTAGTTTAAGTGTCTTTTCCCTGGCATTATAAATGACTAATGTCAAGGAAATTGACTAAGCTGGTGTTTAGGATTTTTTTTTTCTATTTTTGAAAAGTTATAAAAATCCACACATACACCAGCATTCATTCTTGACATGAAGACTCACACAACTGTTTCAAGGAGAATTTCTTCAGCCTTTTCTTCTTTTGGACAGGGGGTTTCACTGTGTGTGCTGCCACATCATGTGGGTTGAGAAGGACAAGAGAAGAGACCAAAGATATGGCAGAAGAAGTGGGTAGATACCACAGATAACACTTGAGGCTGATTCAAAATTCTTATTTAAGAAAACTCACCTAGCAGTGACTGAACTAGGTGACCCTGAAGGCTCCTTACAAACCTATGATTCTCATAATCTGTGTCATAAATAAGCAGATTCCAGCCCCAAAAGCCTCAGTGTAACAAACCTAGGAAATGGTAGCATTCTTTTTTGAAATACTTGTTCTAAGTACTCTCTCTTCAGCTCAAGAATAATGTCTTTTCTTCTTAATAGCTCCTCCATCATCACTGCTCGCCCAGTCACTATCTTTGTGACTATGAGAGCCTGACTCTGAAGCCCAATCCTTATGCTCCCTGGTCTTCTTTGCTAAAGTCAGTCTTCGGTATGATTTGCTTGAGATGGGATGCACGGGCCTTTTCTGTAGTAATGGCAACAATGAAAATAGCAATACTAATAGTTAATATTAATTGAGCACATGCCACATGTCAGGAACATGCTGTGATATAGGTACTATATTATTAATCACCACATGACCGAAGAGTAAACTGAGACACAGAAAATTACATAGTGCCAGAGGCAGTTAAATAGGCACTCCTAACTATAGAATGCAAATTACTACTCACCCATGGGCATAGTCCCTGCCATTTACCACTCTCAAAGGCTACAGTCTTAGCTTCCAAACTGCCAAAGGTTTACACAGATGCAAATCTCAGGCTACATGAATCCCATTACCTTTTGTGCACACTTCTCACTAATTCTCCTGAGTTTAACTTATCATGCTTCCATAAATGACGTTTAACTCAGTGGTTAATATGAAGCTAAAATGGTATTTTGGTATAATTACAAAGTAATCAGCATAAAGTTCTGGGCAACAATTGAATTGGTGGCACCTCAAAGAACAAAAGGACAGAGCATGCCGCATTTTAACATGGTGCATTTTAAAAAATGCTTACAGGATCAAGGCCATTAATCCCTTTAGTTCACTTGGACTGGGGGTGGGGAAATCCCAAGAAATAGCAATTCAGTCACCTTCTTGAACAGCCCACATGCTGCTCAGATGATTTCTGAGAAATGAACTTAACTTTTAGAGGTTTCATGATCAGCTGCTGGATGACATCCGGCACCAACCTAACCACTAATCTCAGATCTCATAGCAACATAGATCGTGTAGAACTCAAAATAGTCCTGCCTCGAGCTCTTTTCACTTCTTATCACTTCAGCAAGAGCATATGAAGAAAAGGTGTCTGTCAGCCAACAGCTGCTAATTTTCAGAGAAATGAATGGATGTGTGGCTGCTTCCATTTAAGCAGTCACCATCTATCTCAGCAGTATTAATGCTTCCGTTTGACCAGCCACCTCTATCTACACATATTTCTTTTTATCTGAGAGTCTACTGAACTCTTTCAAATTCATTTGCACATGTGATGTTTTCACAGGGCTCAACATTGAGCAAAATCCTTTCTAATCCCAACCTTTCACGACTTTATTTCATTTCTCAACATTTCTCCTTTGTAGAAACACATTGGAAGCTAATCCCCAAGATTTTGAGAGAAGTCACACAAGAAAGTCTGATTTTGCTGGAAGATCTTTAACCTGCCTTAAGCCTTGGATGTCATCTAATCATAGCTCCCGATTTCTTTATCCTTGGACTGCAGTTAGAGACTCAGCTGCTATAAAGTGAACTACTCTTGAATAAGGGCAGTTTCCACAGTGATAACCTTGCTTCCATCCACAACAGTTAGGGGACCCGCAGCCTCAGAATGCTTTGCTTGATAGCAAGTGCAATGTAATTTTTGTTTGTTTGTTTGTTTGTTTTTTGAGTTGGAGTCCTGTTCTGTCTCTAGGCTGGAGTGCAGTGGCATGATCTCAGCTCACGACAAGCTCTACCTCCCAGATTCAAGTGATTCCCCTGCCTCGGCCTCCCAAGTAGGTGGAACTGCAGGTGCATGCCACCACGCCCAGCTAATCTTTTGTATTTTTAGTAGAGGCAGGGTTTCACCATGTTTGCTAGGATAGTCTTGATCTATTGACTCCGTGATCCGCCCTCCTTGGCCTCCCAAAGTACTGGCATTACAGGCGTGCACCCCACCATGCCTGGCCTGCAATGTAGTTTTGATTAAAATTCTTATTGAGGAAAACTCTCTAAGCTTGCCCCAAAACAATTTATATCAGCAGAAGAAATCAATAAAGAAATAGTAATAGTGTATATTGTTTGATTTTGTTGCAGCGGAGTATATTGTTTTATGATGAAAACCACAAGTAACAATTTTTAGTTGTATACTTTTAGGTCACCTGAATTGTTGGTTCCTGCACAAAATTTAATATAAGGAAATGTGAAAACTCCTTTCTTCCCTTAACTTCAGTCAAGCCTCTCCTGTGTGGTTACCTGCTGCTTTCACGTCCCCTGTCATTGAGAGGACTTTAGTAGTCATATTTGGTCTCTGTAATTCTCATATGTACTACTTGCCTTAAGTTAAAACAACCAAGGAAACATTATTCTTTGCTTTGTATGAGGTGGTGCTCAGAATTCATAAACTGAATTCAAATTATATCAAAAGAGATCTTCCAATTGTGAAGAAAGCCTAGCATATGAGAGGTTGCTCATAAAGACCAAATACAGCTACTGTATAGCAGAGGAACCAACAGTTTGGTAGAATCCAATTCAATTTGCAAGTAGTCATTAATTATTAATTATTTTCCAGGTATCATGAATGGCTATACATAAGCCAAGTATTTCAGTTGAAATGAAAATTTTAAAGCAAATTTGAAGAAGAGGAAGGGGAAAAAAGGAGGAAGAGAAGGAGGAAGAAGAAAAACAAGAAGAACATGAAGAAGAAGAAAGGGGAGAAGGGGAGAAGAAAAGAGGTAGTGGAAAAATAAGGAGGAGAGAAGGGAGAGGGATAGCAATGATACCACCTGTTAAGAGATCAAAAGTGGATCTGTTAGCCCTTCCTTGCTCTCAGGAACCCAATCTCAGATGATGATAGACAGAGGAAAATAGGGCAGCAAGACCCTCCCAATTTCCTACCCCAGAAATACACCCAAGTGCCATCTCTCCCTGGAATGCTAGAAGGGAACTAACATTCACTGGGTTCCTCCTACAATCATTTACTTTCTTTGGTACTTTACACGGCTTAGATGTATAGTTCCATTCAATTCTCAAACAAAAGTATAAGGTAGACAATGTTATTTCCATTTTTATAGATTAAGTTCAAGAGGTTGAGAAATTTGCCCTAGCTGACAAGCAAGGAGCTGGCATTCCAATCTCCATGTCTGGATTGCCAAACCTAGACTTGTTCCATCATCTCACACACGCTTCACCTTTTTTTCTCTGCCAGGAGATTGATCTAGTATCTCCTTTTCAACCTGGTAAGCCTGTCTATTAGGTACAGCTTACCCAAAAAGGGTCTCCTAATACCAATCCTTGTTTCCATACATCATTGGTGAGTCCCAGCCCAAGCAAGTGCAATTTGCTTTTGCAGATCACTTTCCCAACGTGGCTATGCATTTGTGTTTCTTATCACTGAACGTAAGACAGTTCATTACTCAAGTGTAAACACCAACCTGAGACAGCTGGGTACACTGACACTTACCACACAGATGAAAGAACTTTGATGGAAAGTGCAAACACTGGGAAACACGTGGGAAATTGGTTTCATATGGTTTGATTACACTTGCTTAAAATATCCCTTTTTTCTGATCAGATCAGAAATTGATGTTTGTTACTATTCTGAGATATGAGTCTGAGTGTTTTTTGTTTTTGTTTTTTTTTTTTTTTGAGATGGAGTCTTACTTGTTGCCCAGGCTGGAGTACAGTGGTGTGGTCTCGGCTCACTGCAACCTCCGCCTCCCGGGTTCAAGCAATTCTCCTGCCTCAGCCCCCTGAGTAGCTAAGATTACAGGCCCCACCATGCCTGGCTAATTTTTTGTATTTTTAGTAGAGACAGGGTTTCACCATATTGACCAGGCTGATCTCGAACTCCTAACCTCATGATCCGCCTGCCTCGGCCTCGCAAAGTGCTGGGATTACAGGTGTGAGCCACAGCACCCAGCCAGAGTATGAGTTTTTTGTTTGTTTGTTTGTTTTTAAATAGAGACTCTTCTTTTGAATATCCCTGGGCCTTTAAATGAGATAGAAGAAAATCTTCCATTGTTTTCACATTTGATAAAGTATTTTTCAAGGAGAGACTGTCAGGGTGAGGATGTACCCTCACAACTCATATTAAGGAGAAAAGCAAAAGAAACTGGAGGAGAGAAGACAAATTTGCTGAGGGCTAATTCTGACTCTGTGCCAGGCACTCGCTTTGCCATTTGGCTAACTTCATTTTCCTCATTCCTCTCAACAACTCTGCGAGTATAAACATTTTATCTGCAGACCACCACCACCACCTCCATCACCATGAAGATTCAAGGAGCAGTACTCCATGTAGGCTCCAATAGCTGTTGAGTGGTAGAGCTGAGAATTGAAATCACGCCTCCCTGGGTTGTTTCACTACACTGCACAATCTGCTCAATCTCCTAATGATCGGGGCTCTGTTTTTGGCCTGAAGAATAAAAAAGTGACAAGACATACATTGTGTGTGTGTGTGTGTGTGTTGTATTCAAGGGTTTAAAATCTAGTTAGCAGACAAATTTAAAAGCTGAGTAGCAACTGAAGCTTGCAAAAATGCTAAGCCCAACAAAGGTACAGAAATCCAAAGGAGCCACTGATTACAAAGACCCCTGTGGAGGAGGACACAGACTTAGGTGGGGCTTAGAAGAAAGCTGGGGACTTACGACATGGAGAAGAGGCCAACAGCTGTCCTAGAAGATCACCTTGAGCTAAGAATACACATGCTGGATTTAGGGAACAAAGTGAGTGGCTGTGGCTGCTGTTATTTCAGAGATGAGCATAGAGCAAGACTTAAGAAATGCGCCTTTGGAAGGTATGTTAGGCCCTTGCTCGCCAAAGTGCGGTCTGAGCACTACTGCTGTCACCATCACCTGAGTACTTGTTAGAAATGGAGAATCCAGTTGATTGCAGTGGCTCACACCTGTAATCCCAACACTTTGGAAGGCCACGGCAAGGGGATTCCTTGAGCTCGGGAGTTCCAGGCCAGACTGGGCAACATAGTAAGACCTCATCTCTATTTAAAAACAAAAGAAAGAAAGAAATGCAGAATCTCGAGCCCTGTACCTAACCCACTGAATTTGAAAGTGCATTTTTACAAGATTTCCCATGTGATTTGGAGGCACAGTGAAAGTTTGAGAAGAACTGCCTTAAGGAAGTAGGTTCACTCCTCTCATTTTTCTTCTTTTAGATCCCAAAATAAGGCTGAAGAGGACTAGAATGTCTTCTTTCTGCCCCTCTGTTCTCATTTTCCCTTCTCTCCTGGCTCTTTGTGCAGAGGCCTAGGTTGCTGTCAGTAAACTTGGGGCCTTTTGTGGTGCGTCGTTTCTGCTGCTTTGCCTAAAACCCAACATCCTCTTTCTGAAACTCCTGCGTGTCACTCTTTTCCTTTTTCACTGGAACTCACTGATCTGTGAATGTCACACTTGAGAATGTGGAGCAAATGCATTTTGTGCCCAAATATCTACAACACAGAACAATCCAATTGCCTTCCCAGGAGGCAGCCCTGAAGAACTGGCCTATCTGTAAAAGTGCTTGACCTGAGCATAAGAGACTGTTTGGTATTACTAGCATCACCCGAATTCAGCAGTGGGATTTGGGAGGACAGGGCTGCCCTCAGTGGACCTGTTTGGATTCAGAACACCTTGAGAAGAGAGAGGCAGTTACAAAGTTGGGGCCCTGCCTTGTGGTTCACTCCATTTGTTCGATCTAAAATCTTAATTCCCATTGGCATTTTATCAGTTCTTGGACTTGGGACCACAACTACTATTTGGAAAGATTCCAGGCTCAGGTGAAGCCAGGGGAAAAGAAATGTGTACAAAAACTGAGTGCCCTTCTAGTTTCCAGATCTGACAAGTTGAACAGCTTGGAAGTTGTCACCCTTATCTACAAAAGAAAAAAAAAAAACACTGAACAAACTGAAAACTGGCAACTCTTCTTAGAACCTTCAGAGAATTGAGGTCACAGGCTAAATTGCCTCCCATAGAATTGTGGGGGCAGACAGATGGATACAGAGAACTTCAGTTTACCAGGAGCAGAAGCCCAGGAGCAAAAACCAGGAAACTGAACAGTAATTGACAACGCTGTGTATGGACAAGTTTGAGACTTAAAAACTCCCAGGGGGCCCAGTCATAGGGGCCTCCCCATAATTTCCTGAGTTGTACCTCTAGGAGTAACATCAGGGTTCCACTATGGAACCCGAAGAAAAATCCTCTCCTCTTTTCCATTGATTGACGGGTTGGGTTGAAGAAATAGCCATGTTTAAATAAGCCCAGAGCTTTCTGTTTTCCTTAAGAAGTCTTTCCCTCAAGGGAAAATACTTTATAAGAGGGTAAAACCACAGGGGTTTTACCAGGGGCCTCACCCACCTGGCAAAGGGAAATATCCAACTTGGGCTCACTAAAAGACAGATCTAATCACAGGGCTGTAGAATGCTTTCTCTCCCCCAACACAGTACCAACACAGCAATGATGGTCTGAGTAATAACAAGGGATTAAAGCTCAAAGAATTGCAAGCCTCAGTCCCTATGTCAGGAGTCTCTAGGAAAATTCAAGGACAACAGAGGAGACCAAAGCAAGGGCATGGGAAATTTTAGTCCCTGATGCCGCAGCTACAGCAAATGGTAAAACCACAGCCTAATTCTTAGCCGGATAAACATAAAACCTTATACTAAGTTAGGGGGAAATCTGTAATGAAGGTATTCATTTAACCAGCTATAGTTTCTGTTCACAATAGCAGGATGTTCTAGGTTCTCTGCTTAGAAAAGAAACAAAAAAAATAAGAGAAACAACCACATGGCTTTGAGATTTAGAGAGAAGGGAACATTACCTTCCTGCAAACTCTACCCTCTCTGAACTTGACAGGTGTCATCTAGCCACAGACAATTATTTATCTGCAGTTCTTGCTGTCTTGTGAAATACACTGCAGCTGACATTTTAGAGATTACAGAACCCAGTTGGTTTATCTGTTGCAAGTCGTCAAGATTTCTATGAGGCATTATGGTTTAATGCAGTAATGAGTTCAGTTAATTAATGCTAAGTATTTATGGTGATAACTTTACATTGACAAATCATACATCTTCAGGTTTCTCCAGCCTCTTTTTCCAACCTGACTGCCAATGTGTGGGTGTCACGGGGGAGACAAGTCTCCCGAGAATTAAGGACAGCTAGCTTCCAGTTTTGATTTTGCTATACATTTGTTGAATAATCAAGGGGAAGTCATGTATCCTTTCTGGGGCTCAATTTTCCATCTGTAAAAGAGGATAATAATACCCTATTTCAACCCTAAAGCCAGGATCAAAATAAACTAGTAAGAAAGATGTCATATCAATGCAGTTATTTTTTTTTCTCTACTCTGTAGGCCAAGACTAATGCACAGTGATTAATATCTGTTTAAAAAAAGTCTGTAAGTGTATATTATATGGTGAGAGTACTGATAATTACTAAAATTAAGTACAATTGATGCAACTTAAAAATCAGTCCTCAGAAAGTATGAACATGGATGTGGTTTGGATCTGTGTCCCCACCTAAATTTCATGTTTAATTGTAATCCTCAATGTTGGAGGTGGGGCCTGGTGGGAGGTGATTGGATTATGGGGGTGGTCCTTAATGAATGGTTGAGCGCCAACCCTTTGGTGCTGTTCATGTGATAGAGCTCTCATGAGATCTGGTTGTTTAAAAGTGTGTGGCACCTGGCTCTCTGTCTCTTCCTCCTGCGCTGGCCCTGTAAGGCGTACCTGCTTCTTCTTCACCTTCTGCCATGATTCTAAGTTTCCTGAGGCCTCCCAGCCACGCTTTCTGTACAGCCTGTGGAACCGTGAGCCCACTAAACCTCTTTTCTTTATAAATTACCCAGTATCGGGCATTTCTTTCTAGCAATGTGAGATAAACTAATACAAATGTTTTAATAGAAATCATGAGTTTCTCTGAGTTTCACTGTATCTTTCTGATTTCTGCACCTTCTCTTCATGAGACTCCACATTCCATCTCTTTTGCATCTCTCTCCAGAGTCCCACTTACGTTTTGAAGGTGTTTGGGGCAAAATAGAGTTTTGAAATTTCCAAACATTTTTGAGACACTCTAGTCAGTTAAAATTGGCTGCATGTGGATTTTTCTCTAAAAGGAAACCAAATTAAATGTTCTTGACATGGCAAACAAACAGCCATCCTTCCTGAGGGCAATATTTTTAGGAGCTAAGTGTAAATGAATAAGAAACAGCCATAGTAATTGCTTGTCCTTCCAAACACAAAAGAAGTTAAAAAATACATTCCTCATCCCAAATGTAATTTGGGTTTTATTTGATTACAAACAATTGTGTAAAATGTTGGGGCCATTTGAGAATCTCATCAGGCAGTCAGATTCCACATCTGCTTAAAACTCTTACCATTCACATAAAACACACAATTACTGGTTTGCTGAGTAAGAATAAATCGTTCCTGTGACCCAGAAGAGGACAACATTGGAGAAAAAGGATTAGTCATCTCTCCCCAGGCATGCTCATTAAAGGCAGGCCTATGGGGAGAGGTACCAGGCTCAGGATTTTCTGGTCATACATTGTTGTCATTCATATGTTGTTAGATGTGAAAGAGGCACTCAGGTCTCAGAGCCCATGGATGGACTGGGGATCTGAGAGACTCTAGGCTGAGTTCCATAAGCAACTGACTGACTTGATTCAAATGAAGGAAATGGATGAATGCCAGGCTTATTCGCATTTTCATAATAAAGTGACCTGAAAAACAAGTTCAAACAGGGCTATGAACTATAAATTAAGTGTTAGAGTAGTTAGTGTGCTTATGTTTCAGCATCTATTTGTACACTCTGTTAGTCAGGAGACCATAGTGGTTAAGAAATGGGGCTCTGGGGTCCTACTCTCCAGGCTGAAATGCTCACCCTTATATTAAGTAAACCTCTCTGCCTAAGCATCCTTCTTTATAAAATAGTGCTGATTATAGTACCCAACTCAATGGGTTGTTGTAACATTAAAAGAAACAATCTGTGCCAATTAAGCCCCTAGACTTATGTCCTTTTCATGTAATTATTGTTGCACATTTCTCTCTCATCCCAAGATTTCCCAGGTGCCCTTATTCATCCTCTAGAACTTTACCTGGCCTTGGTGTCCTATCCAATAGCCTAGGCTCTATGCATATCCCAGCTAAAGCACCTTCACACTTCCCCTAGCCCAACTTTATAGAGGCTTTATTAGAGCAGCAATTTTCAACTTTAATGTGCATGTGGATATCTTGGGGGATGGAGATAAAATGCAAATCCTAAAAGAGTAAGTTTGCATATACCCTGGAAAGAGTCTGCAGTTCTATTATGCTCTGATGCTGATGACCCCTGGACTGGCCCCACTTTGAGTAGTAAGGCACCAAGTAACTGACTATCCAAATTGACTAGCATTTTCTCTTTTTCTGGGTGCTTGAATGATTGAGTGCTTCAGAAGGACTGGAATTGTGTATAAAATA